GATACAACATAACTAATCCAAGTTCCAATGTTAGCCACCAAATCAATCTTGCCTGGCAGTTACTACAGACCTTGGATATACAGCATAGCATTAGACAACAAAGGGATATCAAATATGATAAATAACAGAGGAAAGAGAAAAGACTGGGTGTTACCATAGTTTTTGTTCTTTTGTTTAAATATTCTTAATACCACACAAGGTTATAACGAAGTACCAAAGTGGTATCACAATGCAAGCATCTTGGTAAAATGATTTCTTTTAATAGGCCATCAAATAAAATGGCAAAGAAACAAACTGTGCATTAGTATTTGATATGCCTCAAATAGAAGATAGTACTGTAAATAATTGTAAACATAAGCACAATTTAGTGAATAAGATAGGAGACTGGTAGATTTAAATTTTCAGATTCAATTTACAGCTGTTCACCAGTCACCTGCTGTTTTGACAAGTTACTTACCAACTTGTGCTGCCATTTCTCCGTAAATTTATCCCCTAAGATGAGGATAATTCTTGCAACTGTGTCACAAGCATTTTGAAAGGAACCATGAGTTATTGTGTAATGCTCTTGAAATTCCTCAGATGTAGGGTCCTATACAAAGTAAAGTATTATTATACATCTCTCTAACAGTAGCCATCTGTTTGCAGTTTTTTTTTCCTACCCTGACACCGTGATTCTTGGGCACTAACCTTTCTCAAAATAAAGAATCCAAAGCAAGCCTCCATTTCTGACCCAAGCAATAACTTTTTTCAAGTCTTTATATCATCTACATCTTTCTCTTCCTTAGAAGATGTCATGAAAATTAGATGAGTTATAAAACATAATAAGCTTCTTTGGTATTTTATGCTTTGGAGTTCAACAATATGTGGATAATTTGTTATTTTTTAATCTGCTCTTTAAGTGATTAATCTTATTTCCCATAATTATTCATTTATTTTCCTGTGTTTTAAATTTTCAACTCTATTTTAAGGGGTTCATATATAGATTTGTGTTTTATGAACAGAGAGAACAGGTCAGAGAATGAAAAAGCAAGAAAGGTAAACAAGTAATTACTGTTATATGACCAAATGCTTTTATTAGAATGACCCAAGAATTTCCATTTTGGGATGCAGGAAACAGAATCAATGCTCAAAATCTTTGTATCTTCTATAGAAGAGTTGAGCACAAGCCACAATGAATTTTATCACACCATTCAAAATAGTGATATCACATTATTACTGGCTTTGCTCAATCAAGTTCATCTTTAGTTTAAGAACAAAATATATCTGAATTTTAGTTTATGTTAGTACAACATTACATCCTGAAAATAAAACTCTTCAACCTTATAAAGTTCCTAAAAAAGGTTTCTTTTTTAATTTATGCATGAGGAAAATAATAAAACATGGTAACTTCATTGTATAGCCCTGTTACAGTAACTTTTAAGGTTTTGTTTTTCTAACCCTCAGACTTACATTAAAATACTAATGGAAACTAGTTTCCCCCTTGGTGAATAAATTATTATTCTACCTTCTAAATATGTCAGGGTAAACACTGTAGGATACAGGGAAGTCAGAAGATTTAGGGTGGCTGCTCAACATTTGTTAGACATGTGATTGTTAGTCTCTTAATTTCTTAACTTCAGTCTTTCCTCATCTTTTGCCCCATAAAATGGGGACTATAATACCTGCCCTAGCTACCACAGAAGACTGTTGTGAGGATTAAAAGAGGTGATCTAGTTGAAACTATAAAAAGCTATCAAAACAGTCACTTCTAACATAACTGTATTATATTATTTACAAACTATGATCATAAAATAGTTTAGCACTGTTTCTAACATGAAACAAATGGAAATAGATACACAAAATATATTTAGGACCATGATCACCAAATTACATCTATGATTAGATATACAGTGAATACATGATCTTGTTACGCAAAGCACATTTCCTATATGTTCCCTGAAAATCTTCGGAAGTTAATTTGTAAGTATAAAAATAAAACTAACAATTCATTTATGGACTGGCCTAGCATACTGAAGATTCAACATATTTACCTGTTAGCTATGAATTAAGAAATTGAGAGCCACTAACTAAAAAAAAAAAAGTTAAAAAAAGTTCTTATGAAGGAAAAATACATACATGAAAGTGAAACAGATGTTCACTTCTCTGGAAATAATTCAAAGAGCTAGTAGTGACAGCAAGGGGTATACATATACAAGAGATGGTAGATGAACATGGACATATCTGTACTCTTGGTATAACAAAGGAAAAATCAGTGAAACTGTCCTATGGGGTTCCTAAATGTACCATGGGGTTCCTAAAATGTCCAAAATGGAAATCTCTCCCAGTAGACTACAGGTCACATCTATCTAACTACACTGTAAGGCCGAGTCTTCCAATAAGTTATCGTGACTCTCAAGAATACCTTGTCCTTAATGAATGAGGCCACCTCTTTCTCTTTCACTCATTATTATTGAATATTTAGTATGCTTATAAAACGAATCTCTGTAAGAAAACAATTCTTTGCTCACTTTCTGCCTGCTTTCTTTTTGAAACAAGTTTAAAGCTCTGAAGTGAATTATGTTTACTATATGTCCTAGAAATTCAACCAGACTCACTCAATTACTAGAAGACTTAAAACCAAGTAAAAACAACCCCTTATTCATTTAATTCAGTCCTCAAACCCACAAATGTAAGAAAGGGTTGGGGAAGAAATACATTTATTATCATTAAAGAATTATTCCAAAGGGAAATAATTTGCTAAAAACATTAAAAATGTTCACCTGAGCACCTTAAATCAAAACTGAGGTTAAAACATGAAATCCCTATCAGAGCAACCACCTCCCTTCAAAGTTTAACTTTCCCCTACACCTTTATAATCTACCTACACTTCAATATATCAATGAACCTGACTTCTCATAGCTTTTCTCAAGATCAGAATCCCCTCCAATAAAACTAAGCTATTCAGCTCCAGATTTTTTTTCTGGTTATTTACGTGATCAATGATTGAATCAAATTGAAGACTTAAATTTCTCCTAGAAATCTTTAATTCTATCCCACAATGACATTCCCCATCAATTAAATTTTCTAGTCTCAAGGTACATATTATGTAACAGCAATTCAATTCTCTCGTTATTTTCATTTATGTTTATCTCAACTCTCAGCCCAGGCTCTAAATTTTTCAGGCAAAGTTCATGCCTTTCATTTTCTATTCCATAAACTATGATGTACCCTGGACAATGAGACAATCCTAAACCCACCCTCCCAACTTTATATTACCAAATAATGCTCCCAGGATGGATCAACACAGTGATATAAATGTCATAATGCAATCATCACAATGTAAATATGACCAGGAAGAAGCCTCTTCTGGCCAGTTAAGTTTCTCAGAACCTCACCTACAGAGTTAAAAGCTGTTGCAGGCACTATAATCATTATAGTATCAATGCACAGTGCCTACCCTTGTCCTGGACACAGAACAGATGCTTAATAACATAAAAATGTTAAATCTTAGTAAATGTCAGTAACTATATTGGCAATTTCCATGTGCTGGCTTTGTATTTTCTATATATCCTGTAGCCTCTCAGAAATTACTAGAATAAAGAGATATGTTCAGTTACTTCTGTGGGGCATGTTGAGTATAAGAATAGCAACAGCCCCAATACCATTAAAATATCAATTTGAGGCAGCATTCCAACATAAGCAAAAAATAAATAAAAGATCCATCTGCTTCTGAAGCAGTGAAAAGAAATACATATCAGTATATCATTCATGTACACACATGACAACCTCAATGTTTAAGATTATGAAAATCTAAAATTCCATAAAATATTCTCAGTATGGGAGCACAAGAAAGCTGTAATTTACCTTGAGTTCTGCAGTAATTACACCTACTGTATTAACCATCACTATCATTCATCCAAAAAAATTAAATTATGAATTAAGGCAGGAGAAGAGATTAAGATGCTAACAACAAAGAAAGGATGAAAACTGCACAGTATTTACAAGTTAGAAAAGTAAAGTTTGGCATGGTGGTGAGATGGCATATATTAAAGATGAATAAAATGCTTTAATACCTTAATATTTTACATCTACATTAGCCTCTCAAAAGTAGACTAATAATAAAACCACTTAAATAATGAAGTGGTAAAGAAAATAACTGCCACAGAAAATACTTACATGCCATTGATAAAAGAAAAAACTGTAAAGCAATACAGCTGCAGTCTTATCTGAATTTACCACCTGAAGAATTAAGAATTAACTTCTAGTTACAAATAACTGAAAGCAAAATTCACATAACAATGATATTTCTAAATGTAGTAATATTTGATTTTGAAATGTGCATCCAGGAAAACAGAACATGAAATGTGACCAAATTCCTCAAAATTCTCATAGCCCTAAAGATTATTTTAAATTTGGCTTGTATGGCTACTACAAAATCAAGACCTCTCATAACATAACAAAACTTTTAATAGCTAGTCCAACTACTTGAAAGGAGGAGACTGGGGAATAAAAGATTTTTCAAACTAAGCCAAATAAAATTATATATTTGAAATACTACAATAGGGAGAAAAACAAAAAATTAAGATAATTAGACAAGTGAAAGTAAAAAGCTTTCATTTTAATTTTTTTTCCCACAATATATGGAAAACAACACAGCAAATTATGCATTTAAAATCTGCCCCAGTTGACTGAACAGTTCTTATTAAAGAGGACCTACATATATCTATATACTCTGTACCAAATAAGATCTTTACACTGCAGGCTAGTTTTCTCTATTGTTTTACATTACCATAATTATGTTATGAAATCAAAGTTTCTTACCATAAAGGTTTATAATAGTAGTAATTTTTAAAAAATCAAAATAATTAAAGTACTTAGAAGCATGCAAATGTAAAGGATATATTTAACTCCTAGTTTGCTTTTAAAGCTTGATAAAAATATGAGCTTAGGAAATTATCTGACATTTCAAACTTAAATCATATAATTATTAGAAATAGCAAACAAAAACTATTTCAACTTACCTGGTTTCTTTCTGGATTTTTCATGACCTAGCTGTCCTAGATCATTACATCCACATGTGTACACAGTTCCATCATCCAGAACAAATACAGTATGTCTGAGTCCACACCCTACATCTCGGACTTTTTTATTTATAAAAAAGTCACTTTTTCTGGGTTCTAGCACAACTTCTTCATCAATTCCACCCAAACCTAGCTGTCCAAAAGATGCATTTCCCCAACACAACATGTTTGTAATTCTTTTGGTCTTCCAGTTTCAATAAAAAACTCCCTTCTTAAAAACAGGAAAGTAGGAGGTATCCCTATAGCTGAGGAAACAGAAACACAATTAGTATGACTTAAAAGTAAACATGATGTATAATTGCTCTTTCAAGCACTAGGCTACAGTAATTACCAAAACATAAACATGAAATCTATTTTATAATATGCTACATAAGTATCATTCGGTTTCAAAAACCAATCAATTGTATTTTTTAAAATGTATCAAGTAAAAACATTTAGGGAAAAATAGATCATTCCCCATGAATCTTTACAAGATTTAAAGCAGGTGAACTAGTTGACTTTGTTATCTTACCATAGACTAATATAATGGAAATATTAAGTACCTTGATGAAAATTTTTTTTTTACTTTTTGTTATAATTTCAATAAGAACAAGAAATAAAACCTCTCCACTGCCCAAAAAACAAGCATATACGAGAGAAAAATTTAGCCAACTACAGAAAAATAAAACCTTTCAATCTCCCTCAAGTTATAGCATAATTAAACCTTCTAATACCTACCTCCAAATCAACAGAAAACTGAAGTTCTTATCTGTAATAGAAATAAAACCAGTAATAGAAACTTTAAATTTCCCACAATTTAAATGACTCTTCTGTTTATTCACATTACTAAGGCCCGACAGAAAATGATTCTGTTAAGACTTTAAGACAATCACCTCCAAAGACCATATTTTACAAGTCAAAACAGTTTACACTCCAACCTCACTACTAAACTTCAAAACGAAATCAATGTAATCATTATAATACAAAAGAAAATAAGCGGTTTAAATACATTATGATTCTCCCAACACTCAACATTTTCTATTACAAGTAATAACCATGACAAAAAATTATTTCCCCTGGACAATCTATATCTATCTACATACCTCTGAGACTACTTGAAGATGGGGAAAAGAAAAACTGCAAATAACCCCAGCTCTAGCGACTTTTCCAGAACAGGAATGGGGGCAGGTACATTGACAGTTTGGTGGTGAAATTTGAGAACTTTCCGGCACTTACTGGTGGTAAAGACACATAACAGAGTCGAGTTCATCTAAACCTAGAGATTTTTAAACACGTCGTTGTTACTAAATAACACAAGTTATAGGAAGTCTGCCTTATTTCCGTGGCAGTCACCCACATTCCTTACACAGAACCTTAGAAGTTTCAAACCCCAACCTTCCTACGTTCGAGCTAGCCGAAGTTGTCCCATTCCATGTCCCACCCGTCAAGAGAAGTTTGGTTTCATTCTTTTGGGGGCATCAGAACTCGATAGTTCGCGAAGTTCTGCACTGTCTTCTCATGTTTTGTTTTGTTTTTTAATAGAAGGGGACAGAAAAGTACACCTGATTTCAGAGCACTAAGTTTAACCATACTTTTCTTTAAGAAGTCAGAAGGCTTCCTCTCGCCAGCAACAGGTAGGGGAATGGGCAGCAGTTTACTCTGAACCTGCGCTCAGATCAGCTTGGGGGCCGGGGTAAAAACAGCGTCCGCACACACCCAACCCCGGGCAGACCAGTTACGGCAGCCGCCAGTTCGCAGCATCCGCAGGAGCCAGCGGACGAGGCTCCGCAGCTCACCGGAGGGAGGCCCTTCCCCAGAGAGGTGCGACATTCCCGACCCCGGCCGGGGGCTCCGACGCGTCCGTGTCCCCGGCCCCGAGGAAGCGCTAAGAAAGCACCCTGCGCCCGGCCGGCCTGGATCCGCCCAGCTCAGCCTACCCCTCCCTAATGCCGTCACTCGCCCGAACCCAGGGGAGCAACGACTCACCCGGCACTGCAGGGCAGGGGAAGCCCAGGGCGACAAGAGGTGGCGCCTCCCCAGAGAACGAGGTAACACGGCAGCGGAGGCAGGTCTCCAGCTCCTGGACCCCGTCCTCCTTGAGCCACTGGCGACGAACACCAGGTCTCCTCCGGCGTCGATGCCGCTGCTCCGCTGCTGCCCTTCCCGGCTCCAGTGAAACTTTACCGGGTTCCTCAGAGAGACGCAGCCGCTACCGCCGTCCAGTCCAGAAACAGCCGTCAGCGACCCGGATGCAGCGGGAGGGGAAAGATAGGAGGAGAGCTGGGCAGCGAGCGTAATGAGTAGGGAGAGTTGGGGGAGACCCGGGAGGAGAAGGGAGAGGAAGAGGCGGCTGCGCGGGGGAGGGGGAGGGGAAGGCCGGAAGTGAACCGCGGAGTACGCACGCGAGCCCGCCCACTTCCCGGCCCGCGCGCCTGCGCCGGAATCCTCCCAGGGTACACCGACCCGGACGCCTGCGCAGTGTGCTGCTTTGCGGCCCTCCTAGAGAAAAATGCCAGACACAGAAATTGGAGTTTGTGAAACGGACGGGAGTTCTCTCAATGTGTCTGCAACAACGCTTCAGCGTGCGCAGGGACCTTTTACTGAAGAAAATCTCTTCGTTTTTTGGTTTGATTGTCTTTCTGGTTACAGACCCCAGGTCTATCATTTACCCTACCTTTTTCCAAGGAGAATTTGAGGTAGTAAATGAAATATCTCAAATAAGCGGATAGAGGCGGGTGAAGACTTTTATTTTATCCCTTACCCTCAAACGGAGCTAATTTGAGGATGCCAGGTATACTCATAGCAATGGCTGAATCTACTGGCATTAAATGTCAGCAGCACCAGTTCAGGCTGCTGATAGTGATAGAGTGATGGCTGCCATCCCTATCTGCACTCTCCCTGGAAGATAAACAAATTTCAGGGCCTCCTTTGTTAAGAGAAAAGTAACAGGTTTGGCTAGGAGCCCTGCTTCATAAAAAGAAGTCCAGATTTCCTAAACCAGTGTTCTTACGGTAATCTCTAAAAAGGAGGAAAATTTGAAACAAGGCATACTTGAAATTTTGTTAGACTTTCCTAGAAGCTGTGACTTAGAAATGACTGTTGAGAACCTAGAGTTAAATCCACAATAAGCCGTATTTATTTATCTCATTGAAAAAATATATTTCAGATTACAAAGTGTCTGTGCTTGAATATTTATATGTATCACTTTTTTAGGGCAGCCATAACAGAACACCGCAAATTGGGTGGCTTAAAATAACAGAAATGTATTGTCTCACAGGGAGGCCAGAAGTCTGAATTCACGGTGGCTGCGGGATTGGCTTCTCCTTTGGGGCTCAGAGAATCTTTCCATACTTCTCTCCTAGCTTCTAGTGGTAGCTGACAATCTGTCGCATTCCTTGGCCTGTACATGCATCACTCTATCTTCTGCCGCCATCTGCACATGGTGTTCTCCCTTGCATGTTTGTGTCCAGATTTACCTCTTCCAAGGACATCAGTTATTGGATTAACCAGCCCACCCCGCCCCCCATTCCATTATGACATTTTTTTTAAGATGGACATATCTGCAAAGACTTTATTTCCAAATGAGATCACATTCTCGGGTACTGAAGGTTATGATTTCAACATATATCTTTGGGGGACCCAATTCAACCCACGACAGTATATTACAGAAATAAGTGTAAAAATGACAAGCTACCTAAGAAAAGAATGCATAATTTCAATAGTGGGAATGGTAGGGATACGCACACTTACTCTTATTTCAACAGTTTCATTGCCCTTGTAGGACTTGTGTTGTCCTTCACTCTTAAGGACTTCATGCCTCAGTATATATCATTAAAGGGAAAATTACAGGACGTGGGATCTTTAAGATAATGTACTTGATGCTACAGCAAATAAAATTTGAGTGGCTTAACGTAATAAAAGTTTGTTTTTTACCTTAACAATCCAAGTTGATGTTCCTAATGAGTGGAAACTGACTGCTAGGAACCTGGGAAGATGCAGGGATAGGGAGCTTTTCAAAAACCTTGTCCAGGAGGTGCCACATACCACTTCTGCACATACAACGTTATCAGGAACTATACACCTAGATGAAGGGAGACTGGGAAGCATAATCCCTGTCTGATTTCTCAGGTACCACTTTAAACTATAGAAGAGATCATGAATTAGTGGACAGCTATCTCTCACATGGATGCAACTCTGGAATATTTTTAAAAATAGGTCTTGCTTATAGAAAGTGGAATGGACATTTCTAGGCATTTCTTTTAACCTCATAGATCTATGAAACTGTAGTACAAAATCTTAGAAAATTTCCTGTGATTATCTTAAACGTGAGGCAAGTATAGGATAAAAGGGTTATTAGGATAATGTACATTTGTTGTGTAAAAGCAGCAAGAGATAATTGATGAGGAGTATGGGGGCGCTCTGGTGCTGATTTGTCTGGTTTCAGAGCCTGAGCCTACAAGCCATCTCAGACTTTTGTCCTTCTGTCTTCCCAAAGACATTTATAAACACTTCTCAGTCAGAATTTCTGTAACTGGGGGATATTAATAATCCTTATCTCACCGGTTGTTGTGAGGATTTAATAAGCTGACATATATACATACCTTGTATATGCAAGTATTTTGTAAATGTTAGCTTTTATTATTACTAATAGTATCATTCATGAACTATAAGCAGTAAAAGAACATTTGGGAAAGCATTCCATACCACCAATAAGTATATTATTTTAATTTAGAAGAAGAGTAAAATATTTTACATATTGTGTTATTTTCATTTAAAAAATAATGCTCAGACTGTTGAGAGACCACTAATACAGGTATTCACTCCATCCCACTCTTCCCCTCACTCCCTTCCATCCAGCCTTACTGCTTGTGCTGAACCTCACTCCCCTCACTTTTTTCAAGTCTGTACTCATCTCACCTTTCAAAGAAACTGCCCCCTCACTCTCTATAATCTTACCCTGCTTTATTTTCTTTCATATCCATTATCACTTCTGGGTGTTTTATTGTATAACACATAAATGCATTAAATTATATTTATTATATTACATATGTCATATATAGATAGATTAAAGTAGATCATTATGTACCATCTATAAACATGTACAGATAGATACATAACTACTTGTCTATTTCACTAGAAAGAAAAGTCTACCAAGGCAGAGGTTTTGTCTCTTTTGCTCAGTGCTCTATTACCCAGTATCTTGAACAGTTCCTGGCCTAGAGCATGTGCTCAAAAATTGTTTGTGGAATTTATTAATTAATGGTCCCAGTAGCATTATAAATCATCACAACCTTTTTATAAATAAATCTGGCAATAATGTTTCAAGAGCCAGAAATTTCACTCAGCAATAGTTCATAATAATAACAGTATTTATTGTGAGACATTGCACTAAGCTATTTACCTGTGTCATATCACTTTTGGAGCTCTATCCTAAGGAAAAAGGATATACAAGATGCATTCAACAAATCTTGATTGAGCACCTATTATGCACTACTCTCCCAATTCTGGTAGGAACGATAGATAAAAACAAAGAAGCAGGCAAATAAAAATATAAACAAATATTTTTAATGTAATGTTATTTCTAATAGCAAAAATTAAGAAGAATCTAAGTTCCAAAAATGGGGAGATGAGATTATGGAAAAGTTAATCCTTTTACTGTTAACTTTGAAAGGAAAGGATGGTACTGTAGAAAAGAACTGATCACCAATTGCCACCAAGATATAGATTCCATGTTGAGTGGACAAACGGAAAACCCTCCACCTGCTTTTCCGAGTTTAGAGCTTTCAATCAACCAGTTGCACAGCCACATTTGCCCCATTTCCTCAGGTGGCCTCTCCTTTTGGGGAGTTCTGATCTTTTCATCCCCTGTGTTATGGAAACCATGGTTGTCTCTTCTCCTTGGTCTTTGACCTAGAATTACAGCTTCAGCCTGAAATATATACAAGGCAGTATGGTACATGTCATTTAATCTACAACATAAAGAATAATAATCCTGGGTATTTATTATAGAATCCTTTCCAACTTTCATTCTCACTATTATACTAAACTGCTTTCCTGCTCTGAATTTACATCCTGGCTTTAATTTTTTTTTCAGTGTCCCAGTAATGTTCAAATTATGAGTATCTGAAACATTTTTTATATTCCCTTTTATGACTCTAAAATTTCGTTGTATTTGCTTTCCATCTTCTAATTACAGTTCAACTGGCATTCTAACAGGTGTAAGCCTGAAAAATCACATGTAATGTGGTCCTTGACCAGTGTGTGGGGATATGTTCATGCCTTTGAAATTACAGTGTGATTCCTCTAGTTACTACACTTGCTGAACAGTGGAACTGCTCAAAATGCCCTGGTTTTTTTGTTTTGTTTTGTTTTGTGGCAGTAGGGAAAACAAATTGTTTTTGAAAATGAAGACATAACTATATGATAAACTTTGTTTTAAATTAAATTATGTCACACAGCAATCACAAGATGAGGATTCTGTAAGTTCTAATTAATAATGAGCATCATCAAAACAATACAGTATGAAGTGTAGGATCTGTACTTATACGAATCTTTTGTCTATGTGTTTTTCTTTTAAAGAAAACAAAAAAGTAGTAAAGAGGAGAAATCTCAACTATTAGAGTGTAACAGTCAAACTTTTGGGTAGCAAATTGAACTTTCTGTTGCTACTGATTTTGAAGAGTCTTGCAGGATATTTGAAGATGGAAGGTTCTAATTTACCTGTCATAAATATGAAATCTGGGAAGCTGGCTTTATTTTGTTCTTTGTGCTAACTTCCACATCAACCAAAATCAGCAATATATCTTCATCACGTCAAAGGGTGAGGTTATACACATATACATGTATATAAACACATATAATATATACATAAATCTACTTGTACATGTAGATTTTTAAGTGGCATGACTCCCTGCCCTCAAATAGGATCAGGACTAGTACTAATTGTACTACACGTCTTTGTCAAATTAATAGTACTAATTCTTTGAAGATATTAGAATGATCATCTTCATCTATTGAATCCTTTCTCAATAACTTTCAGAAAATTTCCTGTGATTATCTTAAACGTGAGGCAAGTATAGGATAAAAGGGTTATTAGGATAATGTACATTTGTTGTGTAAAAGCAGCAAG